ATAGATGGATCATCTCCTCGAATCCTAAATCCTAACTCAATGAAGGTCACATAGGAAAGAAATCTGCAAAACAAGCAAACCACTTGCTTCAAGATTTCAGCTTTGGTCAATCCATAACCCGATCAAAAACTGCGGACCAAAAATAAAATGCAATTCTAAATTGTTGATAAGGATTTTATGTTAAATAGAATACTTTATTATTTATAGTTCTAATAGTATAATTATATTATATAATTAAAGTTCAAATAAAATAAGAATAACTAGTTTATATATATCTTCTAAATGTAAACAAAACAAGAAATAAAAAATTAGAAGTTTATTTTCTCAAAAAACTTCATGGTATTAGAGCATTGGTAAAAATGTGCAATTGCACATTCGCAGGCGCCGGTAAAAACTGAAGCTACGCATTCGCTGGCATCGGTAAAAATTGAAACCGTACATTCGCAAGCGTCGGTAAAAGGTGCAGCCACACCTCCGAAAACGCCAGTGATAATATACAACCGCACAACCATAAGCGTTGGTAAAAAATTGCAGTCACACATCCTCAAGCACTAGTAAAAAGATGCAGCCGCACATTCGGAGACGCTGGTAAAAATTTAAACCGCACATTTAGAAACGTTAGTAAAAAATTACAGCCGCACATCAATAGATGCAGATAAAAAATGCCACACCATTACCTTTTTCTACGCACGTTCAGAGATCTGTTCGGAGAAAACGAGCCAAGTCGACTTTGAGCCGTTTTAGAGACGAGTCTGAGCCGTTCTAGAGCCGAGTCTAAGCCGTTTTAGAACTAAATCCAAGCCGTTTAGAGCCGAACCAGATCTGGTTCCGTTTTTTTGGCTCCTTGGTGCAGATAGAAGGTCAATTTTTCATTACTGGGTATTTTTTCTTCTTATTTTAGCATTCTAAAATGACAGAACCAAAAAGGATGAGTGTTATTAGTTTTGATAATCCTTCATTACAAATCAATCCCGTAAAACTTGATGGAACTAATTACCTATCTTGGTCGAGATCTCGTTTATTGTTCATCAAATCTAGAGAATTGCAGGGTTACATTACTGGTGAGGTGAAGAAACCAGATGTTAGTAGTTTAGAATATAATAGATGGGATTCTAAGAGCTCATTGGTAATGTCATAACTCATAAATTCCATGCAACCCTGTATTGACAGAATATATATGTTGTTTAACACTGTCGAAAAAATATGGAATGCAACATCTCTTACATATTCACAGATGGGTAATGACGCCCAGATTTATGAACTTCGGAATAAAGTTCATGGCACAAAATAAAGAGAGATTACTATTTCTCAATATTTTTCTAAACTAAATGGATTATAACAGGAGTTAGATTATTATCAAGATTTTCAAGCAGAGTACCCTGCAGATGCAGTTAAATTTCAAAAATTGATAGAAAAAGAGCGAATTTATAATTTTTTACCTGATTTAAATACCGAATATGATCAAATATGAGTCCAAGTGCTTGGTAAGGATCATCAAACTTATGCTTATATTCAACAAGAAGAGAGTAGAAGAAATGTCATACTTCACATTGCACCAGTTGAGAAAATTTGATTAGTTGTTCAGTCTGATCAATACAGAGATATATAAAAATGTAACTATTGTAGCGCCCGGAAAATTGAAGGAAAAAAAAAAAAAAAAAAAAGGGGGCCACGTCGGCAGCCACGTCAGCAGACCCAGTCAGCGGTCCCGGCCAACCAGGACCTGGCACGTGGCAAAACCACGTCGACCGGGGACGGGCCACGTTGGCGATCCGCGTACGCGCGATCGGACGGCCCAGATCAAGCGTGCGTACGGACGGCCCAGATTTAATCAAAAAACGGACGGCCCAGATTAAAACAAAATGGACGGCTGAGATCAAAAGGCAAAAGGGTATAAATAGAACCCCCACACCAGACCATAAAAACCCTAGCCGCCTGCCCTCGCCGGAGAAGACGAACTAGACGCCGGAGACGCCGGCCGCCACCACCCGCCGCCGCACCAGGGAGATTTCCGACCGCCGATCGAGGTAAATTTCATACCCCCGACTCGTTTTTCCACGCTAATTTCCCCTGTGGCCAAATTGGAGCCAAAATCCCGGCCAAACGGCCGGAAAACACGGCCGAAACCCAGCGGCGCCGCCGCGCCCCTTCTCGGTTTTTGCCTCCGATGAGGCCCTTCCTGACCTCCGTTTGATGCAATTTTTATATCACCGTGATCACCATTCTTTTCTCTACAGGTTGATCGGAGCCGAATCACCAAAACACGAACTTTACTGGAGAGCCGCCGGTAAACTTCAGTTTTTCGTAATTTTTTGGCCCCCCGAGGGCCCTAGGGTTGTTTTATCGCAAGGATCGATGCAAGTGTGGCCGAATTCGGTCAGAAACGGCCGAAAATGGCCAAACCGAGGCGAATCACCGCCGCCGTGCCGGAATTACGATATTGGCCAAAAAGGGGCCCTGGGCCTAATTTGAAATTTTTTGAAACACGTGCAGGTACCAGTAGTGCGTTTCAGTTCCCCGGAAAAAATTCAGGGAAAATTAGGGACAGCCTGTAGGCGCACTGTGAAGCCGTGTTCGGACCCCGAAACGAGTAAGGACCCCTCACCCTATTTCCTATCACGGTATTAAAGTTCAATAATGATAAAACGGTATTTCTTGAATCAACGAATGTGTGAAATTGCTTAAGGTCGCTAATGGAGCCCGAGTCTAGTGTGTTTGTTGGTTAACTGTTATTTGGCCTGTTTTACAGTTTTAAATGCAATATGAGGTTTGATATTTTCATTTTATAGTTTCGTGTGCATATTTTACTGTTTTATTGATTATGAATTGAATGACTGGGACATTGATACTGTATGTTGTCTGTTTGGCATAAATTACCGTTTTGCTTGTTTGTATGTGGATTAATGATGCTGACTGAGGAAAAAGAGAATGAAAGATTATGTAAATGGGTAATTGTATAATGGGGTCAGCCTGACTAGATATCCTGGGAGATGGTGGACGGACCGGGTCCGTAGGGAACCCTACCGGGAT